CCAAGACTGTTTCATAGTCGACTGCTTGAGGAGCGAGAAATTCAACGAAATTAAATTTGTGAACGATTGTAAATGGAATGCGTGTAACTTGTACCTCGGACTACTAATACTTGTACCGTATTACTAGTCTGAGCTTGTACAGAGACTGTTTATATTTGCTATGGGTGGTGACTATTATGCAAATTATCTGTCTATTATGTCTTTATCTGATTAATTAAAACATAGCTTTCAAAACACTGACATGTGCTTTTGTTTTTAATTAACAAAAATTGATTTTTACACCCTATTAAAACATCCAATTCACTTTTTTTCCTACTGAGTGTTTGCTCCTCCTTGTAGTCCAGCATTGAAAAATACAAAAAAGTGGTGTACAGCATCCTTAATTGTTATTTCAGTGGAAAGTAAGGCGGACACTGGCTTTCTCAATTCATGAGATGGCTGTTATTTTAGGAGACCAAATCACGTCTGATGACCTGGTGCCAGTGTTTAATGGCTTTCTTAAAGATCTAGATGAAGTCAGGATTGGAGTTTTAAAACATTTGGCTGATTTCCTTAGGGTATGTATCAGTGTGTTTTTTACTTTTCCAGCTGAGAAAGGTTTTTACTTGGATTCAAAGTTTAGGTTCCCATATACATTTAATTTATTCCTGGGTTTGTTACATAAAACAGCTTTAAAAAACATAATTTTTGTGTTCACTCGGCCTGGTTTTAAACATTTAGTGAAATGTTTACACTAAACTAGATTTTTGAAAATAAACTGGCAGTTCACACGCAATTTGGACAAATAATGTATTGATATGTTACATAATCAGAGATTTTTTGAAAAATGCTTTTCTTTCATAATCAGCTGCGTACAGTTCAAAACCTTTTTGTTTGTATCTTATCTGCTTATACATGCACTTTAGTGTGTCTAGTTCATAATCCAGTATGGGTTTTTGTTTTGTGGATACTTTGCCTACATTCACTTGTTTTTCTGATCAACATGTACGTTTTCTGTGTTTGTTTAATACTGAAGTTAAGTAAGTTTGGCTCATTCTGCAGTTTTCTTTTTCAGCTTCTGAATAAAGGTATGAGAAAGGAATACCTGATTAGGCTTACAGATTTTTTACAAACCGATAACCAAAGAAATTGGAGGTTTAGGCATGAATTATCACTGTAAGTTACTTGTTACTATAAATTGCATACTTTTAATGTAAAACATAATATCACCCAGTTTATCTCCATACACCAATCACTGTTCATGAAGTTGAGTTATTTAGTGTGTTTATTGCTTCAATGTAAAATGAGGATTATATTGACACTGCTGTGATGGTTTATTTCTTCTGTTGTATTACAGGCAGTTGGTCGCTTTATGTGATTTATTTTCACCATTAGATGTCATTGAATATATCTTTCCTATAGCAATAACGTTAGCAGGGGATAGAGTAGCTGAAGTTAGGACACTCGCTTACAAATTGGTAAGGTTATCACTATGTTACAGTGATTCTGATGCCCACCATATTAGCTCACTAAGCATCAGCAATTTGATGGTATTTTTTCAAAATGTTCTAATTTTGTTAAATCATTTCAGGCTAAGGGCCTAAGTTTTTTCTGTTAAATATTAAATTTAGTTTTACACCCAATTGTGACACTAATTACCATTTTGAAATAATGTCCAAAGACTACTGAACCCTGGTGGTTATGTTTGGGAAAATGATGATTTGCAGAGGACAGATGGTGAAAGTAGGATAACTAGGCCTATGGAAAAATGTTATTACATTTACACTGAACTACTTTTCCTGTCATTTTTTAAACTGAAAACTGTCATGTTTTAAACTGAAAACTATAAAACATGCATGCTGTCTAAGAACTGCAGTGACTACATAGCATCATTGGTCAGTTTGTCCCATTACCATAGCCATGCAAGTATATTCAAATGTGTGGGTCACTGAAACCATACTCTACAGTAGGTTTAAATGCTGCATATGCAATTCATGTGATCTACAGGTGATTGACATTAACCAATCATATTTAAGGTCCATCAATTGTCAGTAAAATTACTGTCAATGCTTTAATTATTCACTGGGTTTTAATATTTGCTATTTTCACTGGGTGAACATATGAAATAACTAGAACTCATTATTTCTCTGCCAAATTTGTGAACTTAGAACCCAGTGAATATGTTCAAAACATCAAAATAGTGAAATTAAATGCCAGTGAAAAATTAAGTGTTTCACAGTAACCATAAAATGCAGCTTGTCCATTGATAGTAAAATATGCCGATAGTTGGTTTGTTAGTGTTTGGTAATATTTATTATATCAATTTGTCAACAGCTCAGTATAATTCTGAAGAAACTACGAGATGACAATAGCCTTCATAAAAGATTCATAGATGACATTGTAAATAGATATGCAGAAAGCAATAGATGGTTTGGAAGGCAAACGTGAGTGTCCCTGTGTTACACATTGCAGCACAGTCCTTGTTACTAATCTACAAATGCTCATTGTTTAAGGTAGAGATGCAGTTTATTTGGCTTGCTTTTTAGTTGAGTAATTAGACAATGAAGATAGTATTATATATCCAACATGTTATATATTTTCTGAAAGCTTATTATACAAACTTTGTAAAACTTGTCTTTTTTTTAAATATCCAGAATGCATTTTTGATTTTGGGTCAAAAATATGCTTTTTTGGGCAAAAGTGGTTTTAAAAAAATTAACTTAAAAGCTTCAAGTTCGTTTGTGGGTAAAATTACATCACTGGATACCTTGGTATACTACTAATTCAAATGCGTCCGCTCATCTCTCTAACGGCTTTCAAACTCGCACAGCATGACCTCAAAGTTCACTTTTATATTTTTGCGTAATAAACTGTCCAGACACATTTTGAAGGGGGAGCACCTTGTCAATAATGTGTGAAAATTTCGAGGCAAATGGCCAAAGCGTCTATCAGCTATTTCAAATTAAAACCCAAGAATTCACCAAAAATAGAAGACGAGAAAAAGGCTAATTTGCATATTTGCGCGTTCAACCGGGAATTACTGCTTTGTCATACTTCGTCAGACTTTCTAGACAATTGAAATTGAAAAGTTAACGTATAGACATAGACATTTGATGTAAAATCGTTGAATCAGAACAACTGCTCTTGAATATATAAATCAGAAACACATCAATCGTACCAGTGTTTTGATGGGGTCGGTAAAAACACGTGGCAATGCCCAGTAAATATGACGTCATCTCATGAATTATTAAACAGGGGGCGGTCCTAAGAAGCTGACCTTTTATCACGACCAAAACATCATGGCTTCTCTTCCATGTATTTTCAATAAAAAATTTACGAGTATTTCAGAGCCTATGGTTTACCGTGAAGAGTACAATGTAGGATATTAAATTATTTATCCTCGATGATTTTTACGTAGTATTAAGAACCAACTCCAGGAAGCGAACGCACAATAATGAATAATCGCGTAACCCTAGAATTGAAACGCGAGGCACAGAAGTTTTGTTTAGAGTTTCCAATCCTATTTTTCCCACTGCAACGAATTTGTTAAAAGAAATATTGGAATATTTGTTTTTATTTTTTTCGATTTTGGTACGCCCTATTCAGGGATTTTCTAAGACAGTCGCAGACAATCATCGCACGGATGCACGTACAAAACATGCTGTGTACTACTGGCAACGGATCGCACGGATGCACGTACAAAACATGCTGTGTACTACTGGCAACGGTTGGCGACATACCGTAAAGGTTCTAAAATTCCGACCGGTTTTTAAATAATTTGTTTTGGAAATCTGACATATTTTGAGAGTGCAAAATTAGGTGTATTTCCGAGCGGTCGAATTTTTCTGAATAGAAATCAGCAAATGAAAAAATGGGGATGCCAGACAGTGTGCTTCGTTAGTTTTGAAAAAATGGATTGTCCGTCAAATTGATGTAAACTTCCCCATGTTTCAGGTAAAAGCAAAGGTTGTGACCGAGTTGTA